CGCTGGCACCATCTTCGTGCGCTTGGCCTTCAAAATCAGCACCGTCTTGGAGGCGTCCTGCAGCAGCTGGTCCACTGGAGGCGCTGTCGGGGCCGCCAGCGCCATGACCGACTGCCTCGGAGTGACATGCGCCCCCAGCGGCTCCATCGCGCGCACCGCCTCCGCGCTGACCTTGCGCACCGCCGTCTTCTTCATGAGCTTCACCGAGCCGCTAAGTGTAGAGCCGCGGCCACCAGAGGCAGGAGACCCAGCGGGGCGGGGGCGCGAGGAAGAAGGGGAACGGCCGTGCGGGAACAGACCACCATCCGCACCCGCAGCCGCCATGGAAGGGGAGGAGACCAACCCCAGGTTGGAGCCATATTGGTTCTGTTGAGGTCTATCCCGTAGAGGTAGTCAAATTGGATCAGTGATCGATTTCTAGCAAAATAGTGAAAAAGTCAAATAAGAGGTGTTAAGCTTTTTATCATTCTGGCATCGAGCTATTTTGCCGCAGGACCTCCCAAGAAAAATCCCGAATTGGATCCAAAATTGACGGGTCGATAGGGCATGAGGTTTAGTATCATAACAGTTTCCTCGTAGTAACGCCAGCGGGTAATTTGGCAAAGAAAAAACTAGTAGGATAACATCTTGATCGGAAAAGAATCAATAGAAGGAGAATCGGACGATATCCTCTTTTCGACTCTGACTCCCCCACTCCAGTCGTTGTTTTTCTTTCTGCATTGCTATTTGACTCGGACCTGTTCTGAAAAAGTCGAGGTATTTCGAAATGGATTCTTATATCAAACTATAGCTATTGCATTAAAGAAGAAAAGAAACTAATAGAAGTCGAAGTTCTTTTACAGACGTCTTTTTTTAGGCGGTCGACTTCTACTTCGATCGCTCGCCTTTACTTTAGGATTTAGATAGCCCCTCTGGTCTGTAAAAAAAATCCTCCTCAGGGAATATAAGATTTTCATGAGGCTGATCCTGAAGGAAGGGAACATCGTCTGCGAGCTCTCTCTCTCCTAATCCACTTTCTTATTGCAAAGGCTCCAACAGAGCAGAGAAGATCTAACCTCTCTACTTGACACCTCTGAACCAACTTCATTCCTAGCTAAAACAGGCACGCCATGAGGCACCTGAACAAGCCCAGTTAGAACCGACTATCCCAAAACCAGGCCCACTTACCGCCAACAGTTGGTCAAAAAAATAAATTACCGCTAGCCGACATAGCCCTCACGCACCAAATGCTCCCATTTCGTGGGAGCTTAGTATCTGTAGTGATTTAAAAGATTATTATGACATTTTTACTGTATATTTGGAAAACCAGGAATGACAACCTCTTTGGCAGGAAATCAAATCTATACTACTATTAAACAATCAAACTAATTCTTTCTTTAAGCCACCCCGCAGATGTACCCAGCCTAATTACCATCGTCAGATTAGTCCCACTAAATAATCTATATCTATACTACTATTAAACAATCAAACTAATTCTTTCTTTAAGCCACCCGCAGATGTACCCAACCTAATTACCATCGTCAGATTAGTCCCACTAAATAAAATCTAATGGATACAGTTAATTAAATCCCGAGCTATGTGTGCAATTAGCAATTTAGCAGAACGCACTCCACCCGCGAAGGAATATTCCACGCGCGTCCGCGTACAACGCTTCGTCAACGCAAAGGGCTCTCCATATCTCATCTTCGCAACCACCACGTCGCCTCCATGAGTCTCGGGGGAGAACCCTAGCCGCCACTCCTTCCCTCCCCTATACCTCCTCCCCGTCTCGCCGCCGCCGCCGGAGTGCGCCCCGGGGCGAAGCTAGGGCCAGCGCCTCCATGCGTCTCGGGGGAGAACCCTAGCCACCACCCCTTCCCTTCCCTAACTCCTCCCTGTCTCGCCGCCCCCGCCGGAGGGCGTGCCGGGGCGAAGCTACGGCCATCCCCAAGGAGGGCGACGACGGGGCACCTGGTTTGTGTCGGCTTGGCACGGGCGCGCGGCAAACGCTTGGTGCAGCAGCGTTGAGGCACGAACTACGTTGCCGCAGGAGGGTCGCCGACACGAGTTGCTGGCTTGCTGCCTGGCTTAACGGTGACGCGGGCAGGGCACCATGGTGCTATCTGACCCCCTGCCTTGCTTCCGCCGGATGCGGGCTCTCTCCACTCCTCATGCATCCGCCGTGTTGGTCCAAGCAGAGGACGAAGTCCAGCCCTTGCCAACAAGCTGTACGTCACACGCCCTTCCTCTCTTCAATCAACATTTTTTCTGTTCATCAAATTTCCGAGGAGTCAATTGCATTCCAAATTGTAATATGTGGGAGAAGGAATTGAAGAATAATACATCAGCTAATCTCTGTGAATTTCATATTAAATGGCGACAGATGCATCGATTAGATAAAAGTGAGAACTAATCCATCACAATACAAGATAGCAAGACATGTACTACTTGATGTAGATATGGACAGTATTATAGGATGGACAATGCAAATCCATTGCTCAAGCGATATAGGATTTCACAAAAAAATTTACTGGAATAAACTTTTGGCTCGCTGAACTTTTGAGACCTAACTTACGAATTTATAGTTTGGTAAAGTAGAAGAAATGAACTTTTGGCTTGCTGAACTTGGTGTTTCTTTTTGCAGCATAATGATTTCAGAAGTACGGTCTAATGGAAGGGTGGAGGAAGATTTTTGAAATGGCAAAGTCGTCAGCAAGGACATGAGACAAGAGGTAATAAACATTCTTCTATGTGTTACCATCTGCTATTATATTTCACTATTCTTTTTGCAACATGATGATTTCAGAAGTACAGTCTTTCATTTTGTTTGTTTTGCTCTGGAGATGTTTGAAAATTGGACATATATATGCAGGTCTGACCGAACTACGTCAGTCAACTACGTCAGGTGCACCTTGACCTTCTGCCTGAGCAGATGAACTAGCCACTGCCCTGGATGTTGTGTCGTCCTCCAGTCCCGCTCTGCTGCTTCTGACCAAGCACCTCAAACCAAGACTGATTGCTTTATTATTGTGATCGGTCAATACAATATTGGTATATATGTCTTGTATAGTGCCCTTTTGCATTAGTTTTCTTATATTTGCGGAGTGTGCAAATGAGTTTCTTCTTACCTTTACTCATTAATAATAGTAGTGAGCGATTCTCTGTGTTTTGAGTTATCTATTGGATCAATGTATTTTCTGGATTTATGATGTTCATTTTCAAAGTGATATTTGTACTATGTTTGAATTTTGATGCAAGTTTTAACATGTCAATGGGATCATTATGGCTTGATTTTTTCCACCAAATTATTATAGATGTAATTACCTACAGATCTTGTTCGCATTTAATTCTATCTAGCGGCTCACATATGTTAGTGTTGTGTAGTTAGCTAGCAATCGATACCCAATATCTCATGTACACCAGAAAAGAAAAATTGTTGTAAATAAGTAGTTCACTACCAAGTGCAAACAAGATTTTTGAGACACATGATCTTCATATTGATTCTATTTCAAGGTCGGCAGCTTCCCTCATCTTGGTTCTTATTTTAGGTTCAAGCTGACTGAGTAGTATTTGTGATCCAAATGACTGGTTTCAGGTATCAACTTGACATATGTATGTAGCCCTCTCCATTTCCTCATTCTCTGATTCTTTGGGTCATTTTAGAACTTCTGATGGGTTAAGTTATCTGCAGTATAGTGTCGATACTGCTCTAGGACACCTCCCACATTAGTTCTCCATTGCAATTGTTCACCCAACGGACAAGACAGACGTCTCTATGCTCGCCCACCATTATTTGACCGGATACAGTCACCCATAAGATCAGTATGCCCCAACTTATATTTTTCTAACTTCATTATTTTGGATTATCGGTTGTCCTTACTGCTATCAATCCATGGCAAGAAGTAATGCAACTAAACTACTTCTCTGAGTTTGGTGGGCAGTAATGTAAGAGGATTATCGCCGCATAGTCAATTAGCTAATGAATATTGTGTTTATGGTCAGATAACTCTCTCGCTGGTAATTTGAATAATAAATTTAGAATTACCTACCGATCTTGTTTTAGTTGGACTGATAATTTGGTACTGCAGGGTACATTGAAAAGCATTTTTAAAAGGCATAGGGTGATTGATTTCATGTTAGCAGGAAAATAACCTGCCCTGCTGATGTCATCAGTTTACAAAGTGTGCAACCTGCCCTGCTGATGTCCGGGTTTTTGTATGCTACTACTATGTTATTATCTACCTTGGTGATGAGGCAGGGAAGGTAAGTGGGGCTAACCTGTTTGCTGGAGCAAGAATAATGACCACATTTTTCATTAATGTTTGAGGGGCAAGTGGGGCTAACCTGTTAGCTGGAACAAAAATAATGACCAAGTTTTTCATTAATGTTTGAGGGGCGTATGGTCTTGGTGCTGCTCAAGCTCGGCCATATGACTGTCACTGTAGGTGCTTCTCTGAGTCATTGTCATCTTCTTCGCCACCGGTTTGGTAACCATCTGGGTCTCCTTCTCTGCTCCTGCATATGTGTCATGTTCAAATGAGAAATGGAGAGGAAGTTAGACAAGTTAGTAATTATCGATAATAATAATAATGTGATGTAGAAATGCATGTTAGCTGCACATGTGTACCCTGCAAGGAATTATTTTACAATAGAAATGCATATATTGTGGATTGATGACTAAACAAGTTTGCAGGCACATCCCTGAAAATACAGTAGAGCCTTCAATCTTGAGAGTTAAGAATTCTTCCGGTGTTGCTTTGGAAATGTATGTCATATCTGAATGCTTGCTTAATTTAGGTGTATACGTAAAATCTAAAACTGATCAATACTGTTTCTAATAACAGATTTTGGCATATAAAATGGCTCTTAATTATATATATAATTTAAAATGGATGTACGGTAGTAGAATATGTTCAGGTTGAGGGTACTAATTATACCAAACGATGTGCTTTTTTACATATGATTGTAATATTAGTTGAGACGTGCGTTGCACGTGCATATTTACTAATACTCCCAAGCAGATGGACCAAATGATGCAGAGCAAGACTTGAACAACTTATACAGACTATGCAGGCTCTTCAAGGAACCAAGCTCAACACTATCCTTTGGTTTGCAGGAATGAAGGATAGGAATTTCGTAGGAAAATTTCCTTTGAAGCCCTTTGATATGTAGAAATAGAATCATATTCTTGTATAGGATATGAGGCAATCCTTTGTATTCAAAGGAAAAGAAAACATTAGCCTAGATTCAATGGGGAAAAAATCATATCCTATAAACCAAATCACATCTCTTTTCTTACAGAATTTGACGTACATGTCATTTCACTTCATATATTTTTCCTATTCCCATGATAAACCAAAGGAGGCCTGAATCAAGAAACTACAGGGTACAGGATCAAACACAGCAGACATTGGAATAAATATACAAGTAGAAGAAAATGAAGTAAAAGCAAACTTCTTTGTTTCAGCAGGTGGCAAACATGGCATTTCCCGATTACAAGCAGAGGCTATGGCCTTTCAGGTTGCTGCAGAAACAATTTCCAAATTCAGATGCAAGGAGGTCACTCTTCTGGTGGATAATCCGACCCTGGTAAAGGAAGCAGCGCCGCGAAATATTATTCACACCCCTGGACATTGGGAGAATATTTCTTTGCCACAACAGCAAACATGAATGAAGATACAGATTTATCACATACAGTACCAAGGAACCTTAACTCTGTGTCCCAGAAGCAAGTGTAAATCAGACAAGGTAGTGGGCAAAAAAAATCTGGCATGCTGTAGCTTAGCACATACAGGTGACTGATCAGTGTCCTATGCTTTCAAAGATTGGCAATCAATATGTAAAGGAGTGTCCAATACTGAATGTAAGCTTGATAATGAATAAAAGGTGCCCTTTGCCGCCTCTTTTCCAAAGAAAGGAAATGGGAACAAATAAAGACAAGAAATAGGACCACTTGGCAAGCATCAGAGAAATATCTTGGCAGAAAAAACTTTAATAACAAACCCAAAATGGCACGAACATTGCTATAATTGATTTAGGGAAGTTCATATGCTAAAACATAAGGAGCACAAGTTCCGCAAAAAGCGACGGTAATACAAACAGCCACGCCTTGTATGAAGTTTCTAATAATACAATCTTTCAAGTGAACGACGAAGGTGTAATTGGTTTATTGGAACTCAAATTCCGTAACGAAACGCAGCAACGAATATTGACGAACCCACCCAACTATGAGTATGCTCTGGCAAATTGGTGATGTTGTACGCCAAACGTAGGGAGGGGGATTAGGCCTTGGTCTTCTTGGGCACTGCCAAACGCTCCCTGAAATCGTCCTCCATGAGCACCAAGCCGTCGCGCAGGACGACCTTGGGCTCCCAGTCGAGAACCTCCTTGGCCTTGGTGATGTCAGGCTTCCTCTGGCGAGGGTCATCAGGAGTGTTCTCAGTCATCGTCACTGTCACTTCTGGGTTGATCAACTGTAAGTAAAATCACACATGTTATTATACCATCCAGAATTGTCATGCATTGAAGCTGAATGGAGCACTGCTACTTGAAACAAAAAGGTTGGATGTAATGAGTCGATGAGTATAGAATATCCCACTTACCTCCTTCACATTCTCGGCAAGTTCCAGCATGGTGAATTCACCTACATTTAAAGAAAGTCCAGTTCATCACCACAGGAACGAAAGTGCAGAATTATAAATAATTTACAGATCAAGTTGTTAGCGCGTTGCCAAAGATTTTTTATTATTATTATTTTTTTTGCAAAAGAAGTTTACCTGGGTTCCCAATGTTAATGGGTCCGGTGTTGTCTCCATTCATCAGCTTCATAAGACCATTGACCTGCATTGAAATGGTACACCACTGGTAAGGTGACCATCCACAGTTTTGACAAGATAGTATTCAATAGTAAGATGATAGTAGAAAACAAACCATATCAGCGACGTAGCAGAAGCTCCTGGTCTGTGTTCCAGGCTTCTGGACAGTCAGTGCTTCACCACTACAAATTACAACAAATAAGCACCAAAACTATCTGGACGCAAGATCAGAAAAAGTCAAGTCAAACAAGAATTACCGAATGGCCTGAGCAATGAAGTTACTAACAACACGGCCATCATCGATGTTCATCCTAGGTCCATAGGTGTTGAAAATCCTGGCAATACGGATCTCTACAGAAATAGACGACATATACTTATTAAGGACAACTCATAACCGAAGACTTATTGAAGGACGAACAAACTAATAGCAAATAGATTAGTTTAAATTTAAGGTCAAAGTATTACCAATGCCGTGCTGCCTGTGGTAGTCGAACATCAGTGTCTCAGCTACACGCTTACCCTCATCGTAGCAGCTCCTGACTCCTGATAAAGAAAATAAATTCAAAACATGAGACTTACGTGGCACAAGTTTAGAAAAGATAACATAACATTTTTGCCAGATGAACAGGCATACCAATTGGGTTAACATTGCCCCAGTACGCCTCCGTCTGAGGATGCTCAAGGGGATCACCATAAACTTCAGAGGTCGAAGTCAACAATATTCTGCAGTTGAACACAAAACCTCAGGTTAATATGGTTTTCATTTCTGCCATGATACTGCCACAATCGATCTAAGTGATAAACACTGACCTAGCTCCAACTCTCTTTGCAAGTCCAAGCATGTTCAAGGTTCCAATGACATTCGTCTTGATGGTCTGTACAAGATATTTACACCCATGCGTGTGTCAGGACAGATAGGAGCAGTTATGACAGAATAAACACAAAAACAGAGCCTACACACACCTTGACAGGGTTGTGCTTGTAGAAGATTGGTGAGGCAGGGCAAGCAAGGTGGTAGATTTGGTCAACCTCCACGAGCAGTGGTTCGGTGACATCTGAAATGCAGCAAAATGTAAAATTAATGTGAAACTCACGCACAAGAATGTAATGACGAAGATATAACACTTGAGCATTGCAGCACAAGTTAACGGCAATTTGGCTTGTTTTCATGGTTGGACAATCACTTAGTCTTGGAATATGGTTGGACTATAACACTTGAGCGAAGTGTATAAATATGCATGGATGTCCTTTCTATCTAGAACAGAAAGTTACCAAAAGAAAGTCACATAAGCATGCCATAGACAAATGAGATACTGAGGTGTAGTTAACTCAAAGGCTTCACTGACTAGTTTAGAATATTGCAGGTTCAATTCAACAGACAACTCAGGACATGGTTTTTGTACAGCCATTGGCTATGACCTTATAAACTTATATGGTTCTCTATTTCTCATGTGTTAAACAATGATCTGTATACTTTAAAGGAACAGTGGAAAGAAACAACTCATAGGTGTCAACTATCTGTGTTCATTACAAAATAGTATAGCCACATGGAAAGGAGATGATTCAAGAATTTACTACAAGATGCCTTCAGCATGCAGTATTACCGTGACGGATGAGTTCAAATCTTGGGTGTCCGATCCACTTCTTCAGGTTGTCTTTTGACCCAGTGAAAAAGTTGTCAGCAACAATGACCTGAACCAAAAAGAAGGCACGATCAGATTGGTCTACATTTGCTAAGTTTGTCTGTACAGAACTGCATAGTAACAACACTGAATTCTACATGATGAGCCGAGCTTCGAATCATGTAGAATTGTAGATAAACAGTACACCCCTCTGTTTTTAAATGTACTGAGAGAGGTGAACATAAGAGAGCTCAGTACCACTAACAGGCACTCTGCATGATTCAGAAGGGAGGTTCCTAGAATAAAATAGTCACAGACTCATAGCAAGATCTCAGAAGCATTGCCACTGGATCTCAGTTGACCTCACATTCTGAAACAGATCAGATAGTTCTCTAAAGCATTGCCACTGGATCTCTGTAGTTCTAAAGAAATTGAGAGTGGAGCAAAGTTTCCAGCTTAAGCTCTAGACAGTAGTGCCCCACAGCATGCAAAAACTAATGCACAAGCTTGCACACTGAGATCTGGCCTGGCACAAAGCAGCTCTCCACTCAGAACGTCGTTTTCACGAAATTCTAGACCCACTCAGTTGGTGACTCTGACTGTGCCACTCAGATCCAAGCGGAAGGGAGTTGACCCCGCACAGGTGAATTTCGCTAACAGCTAGAATGATGCTAGGGGGTCTGGTCCTGACCTCGTTCTTCTCGTTCTCCATGAGCTTGTCGACGAGGTGCGAGCCGATGAAGCCAGCTCCGCCGGTGACCAGGATCCGCATGTTGGCCTGCCCAAACCCCCACAGAGTCCCAAAATTAGCGCCAGTCGTGTGACGAGCAGCGAGATCCAGCCGCGATCAGATCCCGAGGCGTACCTGGAAGAACTTGGAGAAGCGGATGGGGGAGGGAGTGGGCGGCGGGCGCGTGGTGGCGCCGTTGCCATTGGCGGCGTCCTTCTGCGCCATCGCGCCGAGCACCTGCACACGCAGATCCAACCGGGCCGAGAGGAGAGATGGTCAGAAGCCACACGACGCAGCAGCCCAACCCAACCCAACCCAAAACCTTCCGAGATTCTGGACACGATCTGATCGACGATCGCGATCGAGGAAGGAAGTTGAGAACGAACGGGCGCTCACCAGCGGCGGTGGTGACGGGATTGGGGCTTAGTTCGGACACGAGGAAGCGGTGCGTTTGAATCGGATTAGACCGTGGGCGGACGACGAGGCGAGGTGGAAAGCCCTCCCAGATCTGAGCCGTATTTATAAGCGCCCCCTGTCCCTCCCCCTCCACCTCGCATGAAACACACACCGACTGCTACCAACCGGCGCCGATCAGCTCAGCTCAGATCCCATCCCACCACACCACACCGCCCGACTTGCTCCAACGACATCAGCTTTTTCCTTAAGGAAAACAATTGCCGAAAGGACGGTGAAAAAACCGGGCGATTAATCAATGCCTACTCCGTGCAGTGCCGCTCGCGCTTCGGTTGGAAGCAAAGTTGCCGCTGATGGTGGCGCCCGGCGAGACCCCAACCGCTGGTGCGTGCGATCGACGGGGACAGCTCAGCGCGCCCGGCCCCGGATCCGAGATTTAGAACCGCGATTAGGCGGGGATTTGGTAGGGGATTCGGCGTCAGTGCCTCAGTGGGCGTTGTTTACGACTGGGAGGGGGAGTGCTCGCCTCGCTGCCAGGTGGGGCCATTGACTTCACACTTTAGCTGTTGGCGGGTAAGGTTAGCAGGAGGGCGATGGCTTCGCGGGCCGACCGACAAGAGTTCGGGGCTCCTCGTGTGGGGGTTCGACCCGCTATGGTCTCTGTCGGGTTCGAGACCGCCCCCCTCCTGGTTGCTTGAGACATACACTACTCTGGTGCGTCGTGATCCGTGCATTCAGTAGTGAGCAGCATCATCGGCAAAACGGAAAGTGGGAGGACTAGAAGAACATGGGCACCACGTCATGAACATCACGGCTGCATTATCATATCACTGCCATTTAATAATCCGGGATTGTCAGTCCGAGCTGCTCCAGCGAAAAGTTAACATCTTTTTAGTGCCGTGGTTAGTGGGTGGTTACACAGCTTGCTCAAAAGTTAAGGGATTTAATAGTGCCACGAGGTCCATGACAATCTATAGTGCTAGTGTTATTCTTGCCCATCCCTTGAGGAAAGGAAAGATTAAAATGAAAATTGATGTAGCCGTATTAATATTAAACGGTCATCCGAGCTTTTGCCTCATGTGATTTTGACGGTGGATCTGATTTACCCAAATGATAACGCCCACACATGTGCCACGAAGCAACATGGCCCAAACGTCTTTATTATCATTCATTTTGTCACGTCAAAATAGATGACGTCAGCGGGAATTTTTTTGGTTTTCGGCTTAACAATATTTTATCTCTTAATTAAAAATTTGTTTTCATCATTAAATCCGTCTTGACGATTTTTTTTCGTTTGCCAAAAGTTGCCGTGATGTTTACATTGTAGTTGTCATAGTGTTCACACTAAAGTTGTCATGTGGCAATTTTAGTTTATAGATCATGGCAATTTTAGTATTTTGACCATGGCAATTCCAGTACTTTGACATGAAAATTATTTTTTGTATAAACCATGGCAATTTTAAGTGCATGTATCATGACAATTTTAGTTTATGATTTATGGCAAGTCTAGTTTCTTAATTCCCCGTTTTATAATATATCGAAATTTACTTTTAAATGTAGAAGAAAAATAGCTGAAATATATCATGGCAACTTCAATGTAAACACCATGGCTATTCATGTGTAATGGACATTGCAACTTTTACCCCCCAAAAAAGTCGTCGAAACATATTGATATGAGATCTAATTTCGAAGATCTCGTCGTGATGGATTTAATGGTGAAAACAGATCTTCAATCAGATTTTTTATTTAAGAGCTAAAACATTTTAAAACTGAAAATCTAAAAAGTTTCCCACATGCATGCATGCGGAGACGTGGCGCAATCTGTGTGTTATAGGGTGTGTGGACGGGTGTTGCTCCCACCACACGTGTGGGCGTTATCAGCTGTAGTGGGAGTAATTCAAGAGTAACATCGATTCCAACTCAACAAATTTGCCTATGTGACATGAGTGAAATGACAAAAAAGGTAAACTAAGTAACTTAACTAGTTATTTGTCACGGCCCACGGGCGTACCGGGCTGCGTCCCGTGACTAGGGCCAGGCCCATGTAATGACTGAGTGAGCGGTGAGCGTGTGTGTGTGGCCTCGTCTCTTAAGGCATGGCAGGTGAGGAGAGAAAAGGGGGGAGTCTGATTAACTATCCTCTGGTTTGTACCTAACCTTCTGTCTGCTACCTCGATCCCCAATTCCCTCTCCAAGTTCCTTTCCATGGAGACCTAGTTCGTGACAATTTGTATCAGAGCAACCGATCCTGCCCACTCTGGCGCCGAACAAACAGAACCAGCAGATCGAGGCCATGAGCCAGAGAGTGGAGGAGATGAACGAGCAGAATCAGACTATGGCCGATCTGATGAAGCAGCTGCTCGCGAAGTTCAAGGATTTGAAGGGGGCGGTGGCGGAGTTGAAAGAGGAGCAAGCCCAGACAAAGGCGGCCATGGAAGCAGCACAGATCAATGGGGGCGGCGGTGCGTCCACGTCGCCGGAGGGGCCGGCCACCGTCGACATCAGGACGACCTCGACCAGGGGGCCGCCGCCCGCAAGCAACCAGGACGCGGGGCCTGGGGTCGAGCAGCCGGAGATCGACTGCGGAGGAGTGAGCGCTCCATCTCCAAGGGCTGCACCGGTGCCGTCCACGCACCTGCTGCGCCCGCATCAGGATCGAGCCGCCGCCGACCACTACCACCTCGGGCGTGCTGGATTCGGGTCAAGTGACCGCCGCGACGCCCATCTCTTCCGGGGTGATGCTCCTGGGCTCTTGGGAGCCGGGATGCGTGCCCCGGTCACAGGTGCACCCAATCATAGTGTCTCAATTCCGGGTCGCAATTTTGGGGGAGGAGAGCATGGGTATGAAGATGATAGGACATATCGTGAGCATTGGGGGCGTCCACCAGGATCGCACACACCCAAAATGGAATTCCCTAAGTTTGATGGGGGAAATCCTAAGCTCTGGCAGCAACAATGTGAAGTTTATTTTGAGTTGTTTAGAGTCCAGGAGAGCTTCAAAACTCGCTATGGTATGCTGAACTTTCGGGGTACAGCTGCCTTGTGGTGGCAGAATGTTGAAGCCCAGGGCCGCATAGATAATTGGCCAACTATGTGCAGTTTGGTGCAGGAGAAGTTTGGGAAGAACAAGTATGCCAATTACCGTAGACAATTGCATGCTCTTAGGCAAACTGGTAGTGTAGCTGAGTACTATGAGCATTTTGAGCAACTAAGGCCTCAATTTTGCTTTACAATTCCAACTTAGATGAGAGTTTCTTTGTGGAGGAGTTTGTTTCGGGATTGCGGGATGACATTCGTTCTGCTATTTGGTTACATCGCCCCGAAAATCTCGATACTGCTTGTACTTTGGCAATGTTGCAGGAAGAGGAGCTGGACCCGTACAAGAGGCGTTCATTTTACAAGCACGATCGTGACCAGAACAAGCATGATCGCGATCAGTACAAGCACAATATACGGTCCAAAGTGACTGGCAAATCTGATGAGGCTTGTCCTGCTACCTCCTCCAAGACAGATGACAAGGTGGAGTCTCTCAAGGCCTTCTGCAGGGCAAAAGGGTTATGTTTCACCTGCGGAGACAAATGGAGCAAAACACACAAGTGCCCTAATCACGTGCCTCTCCATGTTATTGAGGAACTGATTGAGGTGCTCCAAGCTGAGGATCCTCCAACAGAAGAGGGCGAGATGGGTGCATCCAGTGATGATAGTGAGATCATGATGCTTCGCTCGCCGGAGGCTGTGTCCAAGAGCTCGACCAAGCGCACACTCCGGCTGCACGGTTTCATCGGCAAGCGACACATATTAATCCTAGTGGACTCAGGCAGTGATTGCTCGTTTGTGAATGAGCAACTGGTCAAGGAGATGGATCTCACCACCGAACCAACGCCTCCATCGACGTTTGTTATTGCAGATGGCAACAGGATGAGGTGTGATTCTTTTGTGCCTCAACTGGAATGGGGAGTGCAAGGACATTCATTCACTCAGGATGTCAAGGTGCTACCGATGGCTGTTATGACCTGATTCTGGGAGCCGACTGGCTTTGTGATCATAGCCCCATGTGGGCAAACTGGAGGGGGCATTGTCTTCGGTTCTCTCACAAGGGGAGACGTATCACCCTCCAAGGGATTACTGACAAAGTCGTGAGTTGCAAGAAGATGTCAGCAAGGAAGGTGCGTGGGCTGCTTCGTCATCATGCGGTCACACACATGGTGCAAGTGTCTCCAGTGGCAGTATCCATGGTGTGTTCCCTTGAACAAAGCTCTGAAACAGAGGAACATACTATACCGAGTGAAGTGCAGCCACTGTTGGAGGAGTTCGCTGAACTGTTTGCTACACCTCAAGCCCTGCCGCCACGTCGAGCTGCAGACCATCGCATTCCACTGGTGGCTGGAGCACAACCAGTTAAAGTACGCCCCTATCGCTATACACCACAACAAAAAACAGAGATTGAAAAGCAAGTTAAGGAGATGTTGCGCAACGGCATTATTCAACACAGGGTGAGTCCATTTGCTTCTCCGGTGTTGCTTGTGCGAAAGAAAGATGACAGCTGGCGTTTCTGCGTTGATTACCGTCACCTCAATGCCCTCACAATCAAGAACAAGCACCCCATGCCAGTGATTGACGAGTTACTCGATGAGTTAGCAGGTGCCCGATTTTTCACCCAATTGGATTTCAGGTCGGGGTACTATCAAATTCGTGTTGCAGTAGAAGATCAATACAAAACTGCATTCTAGACTCATCAAGGCTTGTATGAGTTCCTGGTGATGCCCTTTGGGGTCACTAATGGACCACCAACCTTCCAAGGAGTGGTGAAT